CCGAGACTACAAATATTCGAGTACAAAGTAACCGGTTTCGACTTATTTCTACTTAAGAAGTAGTTAAATAATTAAGCGATTAGGGAATTGGGGACATAAACAAAACCCTGATGAAAGAGCCGAAATTTTACTTAAACAAAAGCTTAACTGAACCATCTCTAGCTGAGTACAGTGGAGACTAATTTCTTCGTATTAATGTAATAAAGACAGAAATTTTTCCAGTTGAATGAGAGTGACCGAAAAGTAGTAAATTTTGGAAATTTCTGAGAATACTTGGTCCTAAAACAAATTACTTAGAAAACAAATGACTATTAAGTTTAACATATTTAAGTTTTTACAGCTATGGTGAGAAACGTTTAAAATCTACAACATCCCTGTCACGTCCTTTGAGATATACTAGTGATGCGACAAAAGAGGTATTTGACATTGACTGGTATTGGCACCCTGGGGATTTGGCAGTCTGCGTGTATGCACGCTCTGTAACCGTCTTCGATTCCATCCGTTAGCCACTCATAGGGAGCTATTTGACTAAGTGCATTGTTTTAAGATTAAAAAGTAAAGAATATTCTATATTTTTATGTTTCTTTACAAAGCTATATTTAATTAATTTTCTTTAAAAGTATATTCATACAATTGAAGAATATTTTGTACCAGGTATGTACCGGTACATCCACCACACATTTTATTTCACCGAGTAAGTTTTATTATTTTATTTTTAATTGTAGCCCTTATATCATGGCTAGTGATTCAGAATGTAATTGTGATTTAAAAATGCATTTAGAGGAGTCTATGGTTTTTACTGGCTTATCGAATAAACGATATGAATGGACCCTAGACCAGGGATGGCAAACCTTTTTGTGTTCGTGTGCCATATTGTAAGCATACTTAGCTTTAAAGATGTTTATGCATGCCAAAGTTTCAGGCTTTGAATAACAATATTTAAAGAAATTAAACGAATACACTTTAATTAGAATAAATGTAAAAAGCTGATTGCAAAAAGGATGATCAAGTGGTAAACCAAAAAGATGATTGAAAAAGACAGAAATCATATGATACATTATGTGGCAAATGATTTCTCCTTACGTGCCACAGATTTGCCACCCCTGCCCTAGACCATCACTGACGCGCAATTGACTGATTGCCCCCGGATGTCAGCTTCTTACAGAAACACAGTTTCCCTATCATCAAATATCACGGCACACCACTGTTATATAGTATAAACAGATTAGTAGCAGGATTGCTTGTATATACATATGCTTAAATGCAATAATTTTAAGTTGATGTAAAAGTGACACAGAAAATATTTTCATTAAAAATATTTTCTGTGTCACTTTTAATCTCTCTAGAAAAATTTAATCTCATAACTCTAGAAAAATTTAAAATATTTCTAGAGTTATGCAATCTTACTTTTGAACAGCTTGATTAATGACATTTAACTTATATATAGCAGCATCAAAAAGTTTCTGAAAATGTTCAGGACAATGCAACAAAGCAATCAGATAAGAAAAAATAAAATTACAACATATAGTTGTGCAATAATATTAAAAAGGTACTATCTCATTACTAAGCTTTTATCCATTGACACATGCAGAATGATCTGTGAATAGATTCACTGTTATTCATCACAAATGGATTCTAGCAGCAGAATATTATTTCAGAAACAGCTCACCATCATCATCATTTATGTTCTAAGCAAGAAATGGACAGAAATATTAAACTTGTTGTATGAAGTGTATGTTGAGTTAGCAATGAAGCAACTACTGTACAAGTGGCATATGCACTTCTGTAAAAGGCAGGAATATTCAGGCAGTCATGGTCATCCTGCACTAAACGAAGAAAGATTGCTTCCAGAAGTGCATTAAGGTGATGTACAAGCACTGACAAAAATATGTTGTTACTTAATGACAATATTTTGAAGGATATTTTTAAATCTCCATATACCGTAACAATTCCAAAAATAAAAATATTTCCAGAAACTTTTTGATGCTACCAATACTTGAAATTCATATGCATTTAGTTTAGATATTGTATTTAATAACTATTCATTTTCCTTAATAAAGAAAATACATTTTTATTTTAGGATGGCTATGAAACTTCACAGACTTATCATTGTACTACTCTGGAAACCCAAGAAGATAATGAAATATTACAAGAAGTATGTTTTTTAATTAAATTTTTTTGTTATCTGATATGGATATATTGGTTTTCAGAAGTATAAGGTAGAAAGTCTTTGTTTGATGGGCTTGTTTTGGTTCTTCAAAGCTTTAAATTTAGTCTTTTTATAATGATTGCAAATTGTTTAGATTATGCAAAGTGTACAATTAGTATAATAATTAGATGTGTTTAGGGTGTCATAGACCATTCATACACTTCTTTTAAAATGAAGAAAAGTAAGTTGAATTTTCTAAATGGAATGTAATAGTTTTTAAATTAGATTTGGATTAAATGCAAAAAAAAAAAAAAGAATTTTGCCTCATATTTTTATAAAAATTCTTTCATTGACATGGAGTGTGATGCATGGAGAAATATATTGTCAAAATAATCTTTCATTTTAAAAAGAATGTACAGGTGGTTTGTGAAACTTTATATATATAATATTGATCAGAGATTCCTTGACTAGATTGCTAGCAATTCCAAAGAGTTATATGTATATAACTATATGGAGATCAATCGATCAATAAATTAATGGAGGAAAATGAACAAAATTTATTTTTATTATGTTTAAAAATTTAATACATAATAATAATTGAGATGATAATAAAATTTAAAGAAAAAAGTAATAAAGTAGAATACAAATTTGAATTTTCATTTTTGTTTAATAAAATAAAAATTTATATTAATTTTTCAATGGCAAGATGACAGAGGTAGCAGAGGCATTAGTTTACTGCTTTGGAAGACTGCAATTTCAGTTAACTTAAATTTTTATGGATAGATTGATTTTAGAAAGATCAATCTCTTTACTACCCAACTTTTCCCATTGTGGGTAAGCCTGGTCCATAAACATGCAAATATAGCCCTCTTATTTCACCAGAGATAATCAAAAATAAAGAAAAAATTTCTGTTTGATGTTTTATTTCATTCTGTTGGTAGTTTATTTGTTATTTTGTATCAGTACAGAAACAAATTTTAATTTAATTTTGGAAAAGGATCAAGTGAAAATATTGGGAACATTTGGTATAGATGAATGTCTTCTAATTGATTTGATACAAAATAATATGCCATTTATTGCACATTATAATGCTGTAGCATATAATTTGTTTAGATGTTATATTTATTTGAAATTGAAAATTCTAGTAATCTTGTTTAGTTTGATAAGAGAAAAAAAATCAGCTAGGATGAAGGCCATTTCTTCATATATGTGAATAATCTTGCATAACTTTTATCTATACTAATATTATAAAGAGGTAATATTTGTAAGTTTGGATGTAGGGGTAATCTCCAAAACTACTCATCTGATTTCAAAAATTCTTTCACCAATATTTAGAATGGAACTTCAGGGTGGACATAGGCTGTATATTATTTTGTTAAACATTCATATAAATTAAAAGATATCATCTAGGGTGAAGGCTTTTATGTCCAACAGATGGTGCTACGAGCACGACGACTTAAGTTTGCTTTTCTGTGAGGATGAACTAAAGCAGATCATCTTCTATCTATCTATATAAATAAAAATGTAATGTTCATTTGTTCTTACCAATTCCTTTGAAATTTTGACACAATGTTGCATTGGAATACACACGTGTTTTTATATAATATACATGTCAAAATTCCCCCACTGGGAAGAGATGGACAGGATTAAGGCTTACCATAAAGAACTCTGTTTCTATTTATACTATCTTAGATGCGGTTTTTTGCATTTTTGATTGCGTTTTAATAGGATACGTCAAGAGAATGTACACTAAAAAGGAATTTTTTGAAAAATTCCCCCGCCACTGGGGAAGTGTTATACATTTATAATAGATACGTTTTGAGCCACAACAATGCGTGGCGGGGTCTGCTAATGAAATACAAAGTTAGAAAACAAATATAAAACTGAGATGTAGAAATTTCTTTTATTTCACTTCAAATACAATATATTCCTGCTAATTGCCATGTAATATAGTTCTTCTTAGGAGCACTAAAGAAATTACAGAAATTTTCTAACTATGGAACTGTATGGTTGCATCTGTTTTTATTTTAATCCCTGGAACAAATTTAACAAATGAACAAAGAAAGAGAAGAGCATTGCATTCTAAAAGTTAACAAGAATATTCCATTTTATTTTTAAAATTATTAAAATCTTAATTTTTTTTTTTAAGTACTAACATCTGAACAAATGTCTTAAAACTTAGATAATAAGTATCAAAGATATATCAGATAATGTGCAATACATTCATTTAATTTTTCTTTATTATTGCTAAACAGAATGAAATAAGATATTCTACAACAAGAAAAAAAAATGTTAACCTTTTGAACTTCATTCTGCAGCATCTGGATATCATGTATTTTCTGTTTTCTTAAAAATAATTAGAGTAATCTGCATTTGCTTGCTTTTGCTCAATAGATCTTTAAATTTCACACGAGATGGAGCTAAGCTTTTTTGAAGCTTCCTTTTGAAATTTGTGCTTCTTTCAGTCAAAGAGTCTGCTTTCAAAAAGAGAGATTTTAATCAGCTGGCCAAGTTATATATCTTCCCACATGTTTTTTAACATAAAATTTGAAACTTTTAGAATTTTTTATGTTATCAGCCTTTGAATTTCCACTAAATCTGCAACACTAGCCACTTTCTCTTCAATAAGTTTCCAGTAGTCCTATCATCAAAATCTTCCCCTCCTTTCAACTTAGTAAGTTATATTATCACACTGATTCTATTTTCTGCTAGGTTAACTATTTGAGTGAATGCCTCTGGCCATATTTTTTTTCTGTCATACATTTAATGCTGATGGTTTTATTACTTTGATAAAACTACATTCTGATGAGATATCAAATATCTGTTAATTAAAGATTAAAAAATGATAGGTATATGACAATTGATAAATAACTCACCTTGTAAATAATGTGTGGCAGTAACATAAATTGTGCAAGCTAAGGCAGCTACATTCTTTTATTTGCTGGAAATTTTGAATTTAGGTGTGATTTGCAAATTTTAAACAAACTATTATAATAATTTAGTTAAATTTTTAAGTCAATTGTGAAATCCTTGATTCAGCATTTTGTGATTCAATATCTTCTAATATAGAAGGAAAGGTTACTCTCTATCTCTGCATTGTTTAAGATGGGAAATTGTTGTATGTGAGGTGAAGGCAGACATTGAGGCAAGACACTGTATAGAATAACCATTTATTATGGAAAAATGCTTACAAGTAGTTTGTACTGAAGATCTTCCTCTAGACAGAGTTCAGTTTGCAAGGTTAGTCCTTGGTAGTGTACAGAATTGTCCTTTCAGTTACTCCCACATAGTTTGAGTCTAAGGTTGTTATTGTTCGGTAGCAAAGTTTGATTGATGATGGTCATTGACTTGAAGAGAGCACATCAAGTAGAGAATGGAGTTTCCTGTTAGAGAAGGTCTGAAATTTTGTGTTGAAGTGACTGAGAAGATGGATTCAGGCAAATGAACATGTACAGTAATTTGATAGACTGTAGATCTTGGAAAGAGAGTAGCTCTCCTTGCAGATGAGAACTTTGTTGCACAGAGTTAGCAAAAAAGGGATTATAATGAAAAAAACAGATCTGACAAGTGAGACAAAGAATGTAAATCTTTTTTAGATAAAAGGACCTCATGTCCTTGAGGCATTGGGCTCTGATTGGTTCCAGTTTCTTTTTCTTTCTGATTGGTCCTCAGCTTTTTCCAGATAAAATTCTAGACCAAAATGGGCTGTGAGAAAGATTGGTATTAATATCCAATTTCATGCAGCGTCCCAGTACTGACCAGATGATCTTTGGAACCTTTGCTTGTAATTCATAACATTGTTTTCTCTCCTGACACCAAAGAATTTTAATTGTTTTAATGCAACATTTTTATTAAACAAAGTAATTCATTTCATCATTATTTTGTCATTTCTGTGATTGTAAAGATGAAAGTTTGACTTTCTCACTCACACTCATTAAAATTCTAACATATGAGCTTGAGTGTAACTTGGGACTTCACAGAACTATAAAAGTTGTCAAATTTAATAAATTTGAAATAAATATTATTGAAAAAGGAAACATTTGTTAAGAAAGTTATTGTTAAGGAAACATTTTTAATTATTATAAATATTTACACAACATGCAATTTATGATTATTAAAATATTATAGCAAATAATTTTATTTTTAGACTACAGTAAATGATCCATCATCTTTGATTTCTAATGGATTGAATAATTCTGCAAACAATTCATTACTGATGCATGATATATCAATATCTACTGAAGCACATCCATTAAGAAGTTCTCACTTGTCTTCCATCTACAGTGCAGAATGGCCAATTGAAGACGGTAATTTTATTTGTATTAACTATTTAGTAATTTGAAATTTGCAGCAAACATTTCTTCAGAAATATTTGTTGCAAATTTGCTTGCTTTATTTTTAAATACAAATACTTATTAAAATTTCTGGTATACATACATACATACATACATACATACATACATACATACATACATACATAGGCCTACATGATGCATATGTTACATCAAACTGTTGAATGTTGTTCATTTTGTAAAATGGACAATAATTTGTAAAATTGGCTCATCAACTGCCAGTTTCCTAAATTAGGTCAATTTTTTGCTGAATTTGTGAAATTGTTGTTTTATATTTTTCAATAAGATACTAAACATTTATTTTGCTCATTGAATTATGGCTTAGAAAATGTTAGGAGATGAAGATTTATTTTATTATTGTCTTCTTAGTTGAAGGTTACTTAAGGATATTTTATATTTCTTAATGATATTCATTACAAGCATGTTGAATTAAATGCTAGATTAGGGCCTAAGCATATATAATAAAAAAAGTGAATACTAATACAAAAGTTTCAAAATAACAGTAAACAAAAATGAAACAAAATAAAATTTACCACAACACTGCGTGTCACTTCATGCAATTGCAGTTTCATGAATTAGACAGGAATACAGTGGTGCCTCGTATAATGTACTTAATCTGTTCCAGGTGCACATCCATTAAGTGAAAAGTCTGTTATACGAAATGCGTTTTCCCATAGAAATGCATGTTAAAACATATAATTCGTTCCTCAGCATAAAATAACCATACTGTACCATTAAAAAAATGAAAATGGAGCAGTCACCAATTATGCCGGGTAGTCAGATGTTGTGAGGAGGAGGTGGAGGAACATTTTCTTCACACTCATACAGATACAGACTTTTTACACATTGCAGCAGGTCTCTTCTTATTGTTTTTTAATCGGAGTCAGATTCAGGAGAGGCTACTGGGGCTTGCAGGGTCAACTCCTCTTGTTCCATTCTTTGTTTTTTGGCATCTTGCTTCTTGAAAAACATGTCCAAGGTGGTCTGTTTCTCTCTCTTCTTCAACACCTGTCGGAATTGGCGGGCAAGGGTGTTATCGTAGAGATCATTGATCCTGTTGGCCTCAGCTCTGTTTGGATAATGAGTGTTGGTAAACTCCTGAACCTCTCACCATTTGACAAAGAAGTTCTTGTCAACTTTCACTTCTGATGATTTTTTGCTTTGTTTCAATTGAAATCACCTTTCTGTATTTTTAGAAGCCATGATTTGCACAACACTTGAATAAATGTAAATACCCTGCACTGAGGTGATGTACAGTATTTAATAAACAAGAGAGCAAGCCAAATCCCAACGGGAGCTCTGTACTTCAGATATATTAATTAATAATATATTCTAATAATACTAATATATTATAAAAATAGTAGATTGTCATTGGCAACAGCAAAAGAGTGGAAACATCATTTGCAACTTGTTCACAGAAATGTTGTTCGCCTAACATAACTGCCGAACAGAAAGTCCATTGTTCGCAGCCAGTCCGTTGCTCGAATCATGTAATGGACAAACAGAAAGTCTGTTGTTTGCAGCATCTGTACGTTATACGAGGCATCACTGTATTGTCAAACTTTTATATTTAATTTTTTTTATTATATATGTTTAAACCTCTATTCCAGCATTTAATGTAACATCTATGTAATACTTTATTAGAGGATAATTTTGATTTTACATAAACATCTAACTCAGTGCTGAATCATTCTTGTGCACCAATATCTTTTATTGTATTTTATTCTTTGCATTGAAATATATTTGAGTGGTTGGACTCATTATTGTTTCTGATGTATTAACTATCAATCATTATTTAATGTTATAAACTTTTTAATTTACATTAATGTAAAAAATAATAAATGATAAAATAATCATTGATTAAAAATTGTATGCAGTATATTATAATTATAATTATGCTTTTTATATATGATTATTTTTAATTTTTATCACAGACAATTTAATAGTTAAATGCAAATGTTTTTAAAAAGATTAATTACTGAAAATATATTCATATGCATATTTTATTTATTTATTTATATATTTGTTTATTTAAACATTGTTTTTTCATAGAAATAGTTAATAATATACCTGACAATTTAACTACACGAAATCATCCAATGAATATTACAAATCAAGCTTCCATTTGCTTCAGTACTTCTAATACATTGACAAATCTTCATGGAACTGCTACAAGTATTCAACCTCTTGGAACTAAAGTAAGTGAAGTCCTGTGTATTATACTTGTACAGTTATCCTTTGATTAATGCAATTAATTGATTCCTTGATGCTACCATGTATATCAAAATCATGTTAATTAAACAACTCCTCTTTCAACTCAATTACTAGTTGTGGGGCAGATAAGTATCAATTTTTTCTTAATATTTGAATGATAGCTCCATCACAGGTGCTAGTGGTCTTCTGTTTTTGGCCATGCTTAGCCAAATTAATGACTGAACCAGCATTTTATTTTTTAACACTGGAGAAAATAGTTAAACATAAAATTCCCATCAATTTTTTAATATACAGTAAGAATGTCTGATTGAATGAAGATCAATGACTAAGTTTTATTGGTCAATGCTAATGTGATTTTTTAATTTGTATTCTAGAGCAGAAATTAAATCTGTGAAAAATCATAATTTTACATATAAAAAAAATATAATTAACTTAAGATTTATTTAAGTGAATTTTTTTTATTATCTGAATGGGAAGTTACCAATTAATTCTTTTGTACTCAAATTTGTGACAATATAAACTTTTAACAAGCCTTAAAACTTATTGCTAACACCAATATGAAACAACAATACCTGAAATTGACTAGTTCTATAAGCAGATGTAAAAGTCATAAAAGCACATACATGATGATGTAAGAATTTCTGCAAATTTACATTAAGTTTAGTAGACATATGCAATTTTACCAGTGTCTGATTTTTTTTCATCCACTGTATATTAATGGAAAAATTAAAATTGTAAATTTGAAGAAAAAAAATTTAAATTTGTTGAAACTTCAAATTTACAATTTTTTCCCCACTGACTAAACTCTATTTTTAATGTTGTTACATTATACATGTAACTTTATTTGTGTATGTGTAAAATTAAATTGTATGTAATATAATTAATATGTAAAAAATGTATAATTAAATATAAATTGAAAATAATAATTAATATATTTAACTCTTATAATATCTATTTAAATTTTTTATATTAGGTTGAAATGGTATATTCATTGTTATCAATGTTGGGAACTCATGGTAAAGATGATATGAGTTTGAAGTTGTTGGAATTATCTAGTTCTGTAGAATGTTGTATAGCAATGAGACAATCAGGTGAGATTTTATAAATAAATTACTGTGTTGAAATAGCTAATTTAAAGTTTTTTTTTAGTTTATAAATTATTACAAAATTTTATAATTGAAAAATATTGTTATTGAACTAAATTTTAGTTTTTCATATTCTACTTCCTATAAAACTGAAAAGTAGCAGTGGTTTCTAGTGATTATTATCAGTCTAATCAGTTTTAAAACATTATACATTATAAAGTCATCAATAAATCAATTTTCAATTAATTGTTACAAATTTTGTAACAATTAATTGAAAATTAATTATTACAAATTATTGAAATATATATATAACCAGGGTGGCCAAGCTCCTTGATAGTCCGAGCCATTTTTCAAAATTGAAATTTTTCGCGAGCTGCAATTAAATACGTATTAAAAAGGTATGTAAAAAATTCCAGATTACAAATTATCCGTAGCAAGAGTGATACAAATTGTTTCCTCCAGAGCACAATGTCAACTGTCCATTGCAATGACAGTTTACAAATTCAAAATCGGTCTGGAGTCGGTGGATAACGGACGATTACGCCACTGTTTATGTTCGTTCGCGCAGTTTTCGATGAGTCATTCTTAACTTGGACGGAAATGAAATTTGTTACAACGTTGCATTTAGTCTTTCATATTTGTTGTTAGTAATTTAAAAGACATTTTGAAACACATACGGAACGATACTAATTTTTAAAATATAATAACACAAAAAATGAAAAGGGAACTCGGGTACATTTATCGAGAGCCACAAATAATCCTTCAAAGAGCCGCATGTGGCTCGCGAGCCGCAGGTTGGCCACCCCTGTTATATAAGGTTTTTAATTTCTTCAAAAAGGGATGATTCGACAAATGAAATAAACCACGATGTGTTGCTCTGTAAACAAAGTTTTTTTATTTTATTAGTTTTAAAGTTACATTACCGAAATAACACTTCTGAAATGTAATAGACATTCTCACCTGTAAACAAAGAAACAACATTTAAAGTTTATTCCTCACTATATCAATTCCTTTTTATTATTTATATTTTCCCGCTTCACCATGTATCGATTACGCCATATTGTTTTTTCTTATGTCTCATGTCGATGACAGCGTCGCGTGGATAAAGTTTTTTAATTGAAAGAGAGATTTTTCTCTTTACATATATAGTCTTGTAATTTCAACATAATAAGAAATACAGTGTTCTTTTTGAATTAAAAGCCACCAATATGATTGAAAAGTTGTTTTTCCTCATATCATATTATCATCATTTTATCTTAGCTTGTAGCAGACTTGAAGTTCTTCCTATATAGTTGCACTCCTGATTGAATCAGCCATCTCTGAAAGGAAAAGAAAAAAACTATAAATCATAGGGATGCAACACATTTTTCAACTACTGGAATATTTTATATAAGTAACAATACAGGCATACCTCGACTTACGTCGGTTTCGAGTTACGTCGTTCCCGATTATACGTCGCTTGTTAAAAAAGTATATGGAAAAATAAAAATCAAGTTTAAGTCATTTTATTCGACTTTACGTCTGTCCGCCACAAATATTGAAGTCGTAATATCACTAGATAAACGTTTAAAGCACATAAAATCATATTAAAATATATACAAGTATGTACTGTATTTACAGTACACGCATTCGTAAATTTAGATTATTTTTTTTGTACTATATTAAAAACTAAAATTTATTTGTTTGTAAGCTTAAAATAGATTTTTATTAACCATATATTATTTAAAATGCTTTCCTAGTGATAAGTAGATTCGGAGACAGGTAAATTCGACTTACGTCGTTTTTCGACTTACGTCGTTTTCCTGGAACCAATTACCGACGTAAGGCGAGGTATACCTGTATATTTATACACTTAATTACAAATTACATACATATGAATGATATGTGGTCATCATTCATCTTTATACCTGTTATGTTTATTGAGTGATTGCTAAATTTTTATTTTATTAAGCTTATTTTATTATTATTGATTTTTAAATTAATTTTACTATATTTTTGTTATTTTGAATTTAATGTATTTTTATTACTTTGAATTCACATTTATTCCATAACTTGCAACATTAGGTTTATTTATTTTTGCTATTTTATTCAATTATCTATATTTTATCATAATAATGCATTGTAGTATAACTATTAAAACAAAAGTTCATCTAGATAACAGAAATTATTCAAAGGAAACTGTTATTAATTAATATGAAAAATTAAAATTAAAAAGATATAAAATATAAATGATGTGAATTTGAAAGTTTATTAATGTTTATTTTTGTTAATAAAGATACGTAGAGATATTTGAAATATTTTATAATATCCCTAACAATGTGTCACCTTCATTACCTGTATCAGAACTTTCTGCAAATTCAAGTGGTTTTGTATATATACAGCAACATATTATGCATATATTGCTGCATATTTGAAATAAAATGAAATACAAAAAGTTGTTTATATAAAAATTATTCATTATTGAATAAAAATTTTTTATGTAGCAATTAAGGAAAATATTATTTGCTTATATAGATAATTAATCTTAATATTTCCAAAGTCTATATTTGAGATAGTCATTGTTATTTCATAGTGTTTAAAATTTTACCTTCTAGAATCTGTTAAAGAACGTTTTTACATAAAAAGTTTTAATAAAACTTTTCACATAGAATTTTGAAATAAAATTTTAGAATATTAAACATTCTTGTATTTATTATTTAACCCGTCATCATGTGCCTGCACCATCAAATATAAATTGCACACCCACAGTCAATCCAACACCAATTTAAAAAATTAATTAATGAAAATTTATCATTAAAAAACCAGTAATTTTATTTTAATTCAGTTTCTCAATATGTTTCTAGTCAAATTCAGTCAAAAAACCTTAATTTGGTTATAATTTATTGAAGATTTTAATTTTTTAATATTAGAAGGTAATTAGCATAAATTACAAGGTGTCATGTTTCATTTTCACTCTTGTCCAAGTTTATTGTCCTAGACACTTGCCGATGTGTGTTTTTACTTCTACTGGAGTTTAGAGGCTCTTATTTCGACCTCAGTTGCTTTGATTATACAAGATGGGGAGATGGGCATCATGTGATTGCATACCTTACTTTTTACAACAGAAATTTTGTTAGCTTGAAAATTTTATTTTTTTCTTGATTTTAATTATTATTAAATAACGTTTTTTTTGATGGATTCTGATATTTTTGTAATGCCTGAAGTTGCAGATATTTTTTATATGTTTTTCTTGGATTTTTATATATAAAATATAATAAAATTCAAAAATTAATTAAATATTATCGGAAATGCTAAACTATAAGTGCAGTGTGTTTTACAACATTATTGCAAACAGATATAGTCAATTATTTTATATACATGTTTATTATTTTAATTTTTATAAATTAGTTTATTTGATGTGACGTGCTCAGAATCGATTAATTACCATGCATTAATTACTATGTTAATCAATATGGCGGCAGGACTCAATTTAATTACTTTTTCATTTGATGTTCATCAGAGAGAGTTATTTTAATGCAATTTTTATATTTTTACTGATATATATGCTTGACTATGATTATATTTTTGATTTCTACATTTTCTCTACTATCTAAAAGTATAAAATACTTGTGGGTTTAAAAAACAGATTTTTATTTATATTTTCTGTAGTTTGATCTGTAAATGCAAAAAACTATACATATCAAATATCAACTCACTATAAATAATTTCAACTTTAACAAATCTGATGTCAATAAGATAAATTTCACAGGATTGTATTATTTTTCAAATTCAGGATAGTAAAGCTTTGTTTATTTTCTCCTGTGAAAGTAATAGACTCTGCCGCTTTCCCACTGTAAAGTACAATAAATAAACTGCTAATTTTTTTTTTATTATAGTAGAGCATCGATTATCCAAAACAATTCAGGACTGGGATTGTTTGGATATGTGAAATCCACAAATTTTACCTAGTTGTCAGGCAAATAATTGTAAACATCTTCATTAGAAAAAACGGAGAGATAGAAATTAGATCAGAGGTCACCAATTGTAATAACAAGTCAGTGGGAAAGTTGACACATAGATGTCAAGAATGCACCGTCATCGTCAACAAAAGTCGATCACATGTTAGATTTCCTACAACAATGATATAAAAGGTGCGAGCCACCAGAAACTTGAGAGTTTGCACATGGAAGTTATATTTGGTCATAGTGATTTCTCGTCTCCCGTAATGGTAGAAGACATTGACAATGCCCAACGCTTCCATAAAGAACTTTCATCGCCGCATGTAGAACTTCTCCAACTTTAGAGGTAATTTTTGAGTGGACTGCGAACTCTCTCCCGTAATGGAAGTAGATATAGCCTTCATAGAATAGACAACCAGTTGTCAAAATTGTAGATTTTGGTTATGTTATGTTAATTGCATTTAACCTAGAGATATATGCATTTAACCTGGTATAGTCTCCTGTATTTTAGTGTTAGCTGTATAATAAATGCTTTGTTATTTTGTTAAGCCTGTCTCCTGTCTCTGAAAGGACACCTGCCAACTTTCTCACCTCCCTCACCACTCGATAAAAAGCCATCCGGAACGACAACGTGAGTGGTCCTGGCAGACTGTTGCTGAGTAAGTGGTCAAGAGGGATTAACCCTTGGCCCACGGTTTTTCACAGATAACTGATCGTTTATGAAAAAATATATTAAACACAAAACTGTACTGTATATATTTTGTATCACGTGTCTTACAAATACATACCTTATATAAAGTAGGAAGTAGGATATTTATAAAATTACCAAATAAATGTTTGGGTCACAATTACTAAATGGTATTGCTACATTATGAACATAAATTTTAATTGTTGCAAAATTGAAAGTGTTAGATTTCTTATCATTCAACTGATAGTGAGACAGCATGGCATAACACCAAAGTGAGAAAATTGCTTTGTCAAAAAAAGCTGCAATGACTTATTTGAAATGTATTGGGATTGGTCCTGTCATTGAAACTAGGAGAAAAAGATATAATGTGTAGCATTGTGGTAATGTGTTGGTAAATATTCTACATGGT